GATGTGCAAGAACAAGTCTTTCTTTCAATTTTGCACCCCTAAGTATGGTGCTAACTTCACCCTACTCCCGACTTTGGTAGACATCTTCCATCGCTCCCAATGAGCCCCACCTTCTAGCACTCATCCTTGTGTGGGTGCTGGACCACGTGACTTGTTTCTAATGAATAGAACATCACTCACACAAGTGATGGATTTGGTTTTAGAAGACTGTGACTTTCACCTTACACAAACATGCACTCTCTCTTCTGTTTCCTAATTTTGATGAAGCAAGCCATCACTTGTGAGCTACTGTATTAAGAAGCCTAAGTGGTGGGAACTGAGGGCAGATGCTAGCCAGTAAAAAACTACTACTAAGTTCCAAGGAACTAAATTCTGCTAATAACCACATGAGTGAGCTTGGCAGTGCTCCTTCCCTGGTTGAGTTCTCAGGTGAGACCACAGCCTCAGCTGTTACCTTTACTGCAGCTTATTGTGGAACTCTGAGCCAGAAGCCTGGCTAAGCCATGCCCAGACTCCTGACCACAAAAACTGTGAGACAGTATTACTGTTTTAAGTCACTAAGTTTTGACTAATTCATCATGCAGGAGTAAATAAGTAATTCAGTACAATAACGATTTTGGTGATGATGGAGGGGTATTGGTTGTTGAATGTGAGAACAATATAAGCAAGGAGGTAAGAAGTTAATGAGAACACACTGAATGTACACTACCATTTTGTCCAGGGACTGTCCTTCATGTAGGGTTTTTTTTTTCCCCTCATCCTCACCTGCTTCAACCCCTCCTCACCTAAAACCTAAGCTGGAGTGTTGCCTTAGCAGGTAAATAGCTAACCCTTAAGATTTCTTCTGTTAAATCTCCAATATTATCACCATCACTATCTCCATATCTGTTTCACCCTATTTCACGAAATTTGCCATAGTTCACAGAAAGAAGGTGACCATGATATAACCATAGTGGCACTATTCTTCACAAACCCAAGTTCTCATCTACCTCACACAAATGGTCACTAGAATACAGAAATTAAGATATCTGACATTGCAAGAATATAGAACAAGTAGAACTCTTACAAATTGCTAATGGGAATGCAAAATGGTAGACCACCTTGGAAAACAGTATGACAGTATCTTACAAGGTTAAACTTAAATGTATTATATAATGCAGCAATTGTACTCTTACATATCTGTTAAAATAAGTAGAAATGTAGTATTCATGCAAAGGCTTAAATTCAAATGTTTATAGCAGTTTTATTCATAGTCTAAAACCAATCCAAATATTCATCAACCAGTGAATGGATAATCAAGTGGTGGTATATTTATATAGTGGAATTCTCCCAGTGAATGAAAATGAATAAACTACTGATATATGTAACATGATGATCCTCAATTACATTGTGCTAGGTGTGAGGAGACCAAAATGAAAGATATAGTCTTTGGGAATATATATACCAATTCTAATTATGTAAATTTCTAGAAGAGACAAAACTATAGTGATAAAAGCAAATTAGTTGTTACCCTAGGTCAGAGTTTGGGGGAGGAGGTTGAAAACAAAAATGTTTGAGGGAAATTTGGGAGGAGTGTAAATATTCTATGTGACTTTATGCATTCATCAAGATACATTGAACTTTAAGTACATTTACTGCATATAAATAATATCTTGATTTTTTTAATTAAAACTTTAAATGTCTATGGAGTAATGTATTTAGTCATATGAGTTTTGTTTCTTATCTTTACACTCATTTTTTATTTCAAATCTATTGTTTAAATAAAGGAAAGACCATGGAATGAATCTGACATAACTTTCCTATGTACATATATGAATATATCTCAGTAAATCTCACCATTTTGTACATCCACAAGAAATTAATTTTTAAAAATCCATGGGCAAATGGCAGAAAAATCAATAGAAGGAAGAGAGCAGGGATTGGGAGGAGGGAAGGGGAAGGAAATATACTGGGAACTGAATTAGAACAAGATATATTCCACGCCTTTACAATTATGTAAAAATGATTCTACTGTCATGTATAACTAAAAAGAACAAACATTTAAAAAAGTAAAAAAAAAATACTAGAATGGTACTATGTAGTAACATCATGGTTGGGGAATTTTGAGCTAATACTCTGTGGGTTGGAGGCCAACCATATTGCAAAATGTATTGTCTGTTTTCTGTTGCTATAATGAAATACTCAAGACTGAAAACTTTAGAAAGAAAAAAGGTTTATTTAGCTCATTGTTTCAGATTCTGAAAGACCAAATAGCATTATACTGACATTGGTGGGGACTCACCTGACTGTATCACAACATAGTAGGCTCCCACGTAGTTGGAAGGAAAGCTGGGTTTTAAGTTAGGGCTCCCAGATGGCATCATGGCAGGAATATGTACTAGAGGAAGTGCTCACATGTCAAGACAGGAAGTCCAAGAGTCATTCAGGGGTTGGGTTCATTCTTTTACAACCATCCTTTCATGAGAACTAACCAGAATCCTAAGAGAAGTATGTCGATTCCTTCCAGGGACAATGTCCCCGGTGACTTCCAACTAGCTTCCACTTCTTCTAGGCTCCACAACCACCTCCCAACAGTACCACTCTGAGCACCAGGCTCCTGACACATGAGCTCTTGGAGGACAGACACATTTAAACCATTTCCAAGCATGGGGAGTTCTTGGAAGTGTTTTTCGTGTAAAGTAAAATGACTAAAGTAAAACATTGAAAATGTGCTACTTTTGAAGCTTACATATTTATTATTAAAACTCAACAGTATCCTCAACAACTGTTTAGAACTTAGACCAAATAAAGGTTTAGGGAAGGACACTGCACCCTCTGTTGCCATGGTGGGGTGGACTGTTCCAGTCACCTGTATTTGATAAATCACTGCCAGTCCTCATCAGTAGTTGTGGCTTCCTGGGACCCTACAATAACATCACCCAGTCAGTGTCCAGTCTGACTGGCAGAATCTTTGAGAACTTCATGTTATTTAATAAGTGTTGTTGATTGCCTATCACAGACCAGGCTCCATTCTAGGTGCTAGCCATTTGAAGTGAAATGATCATTGACCTCCAGGACTTTTGATGATGTTCATTGACATTATGAGAGCAAGCAATGATGTTTCCAATCAGGTCAAAGTTGTAGACTTGCTTAAATGTTTCAAAGGTCCTCTCTTCTCTTTTGTTCATCTTTCTCAGTGTCCTCTCAGGTAAGCATCTTTCTTCCAGTTCCAGAACATACCACATTCCTCATAAGCTTCAAGTGTGAGGCTCATGGGGTGAAGGAGCATTATCATCTCAGAAAGGAGAGCCATCAAGTTTCATGTTTTGCTCAGCCATCAACTGTACCAGTTTGTTCTTTGTAAGGGCCTGTGACATTCACCTGCCTGTTGGCTTGTAAAATGCTTCTGAGATTTTTGATGCAGGATTGAAGTTCTGAATTCTAAGTGGCCTTCTTAATATTCTGCATCACTAGCTAAGGCTGACCCAGCAAATATCTGTGCCCGTGAAAAAAAACAATGGTCTGGGATAAAAGTGTATGTAAGCAGTTTGAAGGGATGAAAGGCCCACGGTGGACATAGTGGGAAGGAAAGCTGGGTTAAGCTAGGGCTCCCACAAACCACTGTCCTTAAGAGGGTTACCCTAGAGCTTACCCCAATTTCATTTGAGATATTTTCTTCTTTTAAGGCTACTTAACAATTCTTCACTTAAAATTACTTAGAGTATAGAGTCAGGACCCAGATTTGCTGAGAAGTTTCTCTATAATTAACTGACCCCAGAGAGGCCAAGACTTCCAATCACAGTGGTGGGCCAACCACGCCCCTCATCCCTTCCAAGGAAAAGTCAGAAACGGTGGTGTGGGTTCTCAGAATCTTTTGGCAACTTCCATATCTTTTATGTTAACGGTTATGGAGAGAATGTAATTATCATTAATGAGGTTTTGTTCCTCTGATAATATTGCAACATCTTTCTTTCAGATCAATGAAACACATCCCTTGTCAAATAAGTTTATTTTCTGTTTCAACCAATTCCTTCATGCACATGACAAAGTCATTGGCTGATTTCAACAGTAAAGAATTTTTAAAAGCGAAGATGAGGAAGAGACATTTTTTATTTGCAAATACTGGTGACGAGTTTTTAACACACACACAAAATTGTGGGTGATGAAAATAGCTATTAAATATAATATAATACAATCTCAGTTGTGCAATGATCTAACTCACTGTTATCTCATTTTTTGCTCATTTGCATGGTCTTGTGTGCTTTGTTTACAACCTCTGAGACCATGGGAAGGTTGGACTTGGATTAGTTGTTTGGGGCTGTTTCATGTTTTGCTCAGAGTCTTTGTTCAACTGCCAGGGGAAGATGTGTGCATGGATTCTCTTCCCTGTGTCAAGGCCAATTACAGCTGTGTAGAATCAGCCTAGCGGTTGATAAGTGCAAGTTTCAAGATGACACAAAGTGATTGAGCCCAGCAAGAACCAGAAACTTTGGGACCAACTCAAATGTTATTGCCTAATGGAGAAGAGGACAAGGAGGAGATGGACACACCAGTTGTCGCTAGGGTGATACAGCTCTAGAAGCCCCACCTGATCCCTCTTCACTCTGTGCTGGTTTGTGTTTTTCAGTGTGTGTAGTAGATGGCTTGCAGGGAATGGTCACGCAGAGACAGGAGGCCTGTACCTTCTGACCACTTGTATCTTTCACTGTTTGGGGGATTTCTCTGGGAGGCTCAAATTCCAAGGAAGCTTTTATTTTGAAAGTTTTGAAAATCACCTTATTCTATAGACTGAACATGGAAAAGCTTGCCCTCAGTTCTATTGCTTTTAAAACCTTTCAACTTGTTCTTGTTGGTTAAAAAATTCTGTGAATGAGATTAGGTCCCAATCTGGGGTTTGTATTATAAGTCATTTTTTTTTTCATTGTCATTCAATAACAGTGCACCCAACACCCACCAGATGCCAGAGACGCATGGGCAAACTGCCTATGTAGAGACTGTACAGACTTCCAGTTCCTGAGAGCTCAGTGCCCTGTGCTTTGGACCCTGGGTAGAACCACAAACTTGGGTCTTGCCGACAGACATTTTCTTGTCACAGCTGAAGACTTCCTTTGAGGATCTCCCTTGACTGAGCTCTCTTGGTGGAATCTCTAAGTACTGCAGCATAAGACAAGGCTTCCTGCTGAGTGATATAGCCTGGGAAAGAGAAAGGAGAGAAACTTCAAAGCCTACGTTTTATAAAACAAAACTGCAAATATTCAGGTGAATGTACAAGAGTTCTACTTTTATGGCTAGCATTCCCTGATTATATTACCTTTGAAGACAGAAAGTATAGTTTTCTGCTTTTGCATTTTTTCACTCAATAAATTAACAAATATTTTGTCATTGATTAGCATGTCAAATCATTTGGAAAGGGACTAGAGTCATGAAGAATCTTCACATGAATAACTTGTCTTTGATATCAAAACTTTCTTCAACTCAGCAAAAGAAATATTTGATCTCTCTCAGTGTTTCTCAAAGTGCAATCTGCAGACAACCTGCTTGAGAATCACCTCACTGAAACCATGTGCTTTATAAAACTGCTTATTAAAAGGCAGACTTCTGACTGTGTTCCAAAGACCTTCTGAATCAAAAACTCAGAAGGCCAGGCCTGGACATTGGCATTTTAATAAGGTGACAGGTGGATTTTATGTGCACTAAATATTGAATGCTTCTGCTTCTGGATTTCTTTTTTTTTTTTCGTATTCTATGTGATTTTTTTTTTCTGAAAACAAAGCTATCAGATGACGACTCTGAATTGTCAACTGGCTTTCAGATAATCATGGGGGCCTGCCCAAATCCTGGCCTCTCTAGTTCCTAGATTCATGACCCTGGTCAAGTAATTTAACTTATCCATGTTTCAGTTTTCTCTTCTGTAAAATGCAGGTTACAATGACAAGCACCACATAGGGTGTTTGAGTTTTAAATAAGACAAAACATGCTAAGTTCTTAGAAATTGTCTGCCACTTAGGAAGTCCTTAATGAAAGATGACTCTTATCATTGTTATTTTTAGTAAAATGTTTGCAAAAATGATGTTTTCTGTTTGTAGAAATATACAACAATTTAAGGTAGTTGTGCTGAAGCCAAGTGGGTGGGATTTTTAAAAAAAAAATGCTCTATAAGAATTAGGAAAAGAATATAGTAGAGAGGGCAGGGAATTGAAAACATTTTCTATAAGAAAAAAGAAAACAATAATAATGACGCCTTTCAGTTGCTTCAAACATGTCTTTCACAACCCTGATTTCATCTGTGGTTCATATGATCTGAAGGAGTTGCTAGAAGAGGAGAGAGAGCAGAGAATGGGAGGTGGGGGAATGCATGGCTTTTGGAGGTGACAGCTCTGACAGGAAGTCCTCACTGACATTTACAATCCATGTGGTCTTTGTCATTTATAAATCTGCCTGAGCTTATGTTTTCCACAACTGTTAAGTGGGGAGAGAATGAAATGCTATATGTAAATCTCAGCACAATGTTTGAACATGGTAAATATTCAACGAACATAGCCATTATTGTAAGTAAACCAAACCTCTGCATTTGCAGAGACTGTAAGGAGTGGGCCCGTGGTTTGAACCCTTGACTGGCTTTCTAAGCCCAGTGCCCTTGATCTACTAGATCAAATTCCTGTAAAGCTCAGAGAGTTGTTCACATTTTATAAGAATCCATACTCTGATTTCTTTAAGCCCTCTTAACTTACCCATAAAACTTTGCTCTTTACCATCGGAGATAATGATTTTTAAACTTGGCTAGCCAACTGTGTTGATAAAATAGTCTGGCAGAGGCTATTCTACCTGAATTATTTATCTAGAAAATGACTTCCCGGCTGCAGCACGTCCCTTCCTGAGGTGCCTGTTTCAGGTCAACTAGTTAAACTCACCCAGCCACTGCTAGTGCCAAAGGCTATGGAGGTAGTGGGTCTGCAGGGCCTCTCACTGGGCCTGAAGTCGTAAATCCTCATGATGCTGTAAAAGGAGGGCTGTTGCCCTCAGGTCAGTTCCTGCCAGAGCATAGCAGGTGAGTGTGATGAGTCTCTACAGAATTGAAAGTATGATGCATTCAAAGCTAACTTCCTCAGGAATAAAAAGTTTTTCTTGCTAAACATAGATATTTTTAATGAATAACAATTGGAAAAGAATAAGTGGGCCATATTTCCCTCCTTAGTTTGTTTATACAATCTTCCACTGGCCTGTGTAATGATGAAAATGGGAAGTTAACCATTCCAGGTAAATAGGTCATGCTTTTTTGCTGAAGGAGATCTAAGGATTTTCAAGCTCTTAGGATCTGATTGATCCTTATTGAGGAAAATGGGTTGTGAGAATCTACACAGGGCTGGAAGTATGCTAGGCTTTAGGGTGGATGCAACTTTCAGTGGAAAGTTCCCAGGAAGCAAGAGCAATAGACAGATGAACAAATGAGTGATAGGGCAAGAGGTCAACATCTGTAATAAAAAGGAGCTATGAAAACAGAGGAGAGCAAGCTGCCTGTGGCAATCATGGCCAATGTCCTAAATGAAATAACCCTAGTCTTAAGGGTGAGGAGGAGTCTCTGAAGGGCTAGAATATTGGTTCTCAAAGGGTATGGTTAACATCTGGGCATCCCACAGAAATGCAAATCCTCAGGGCTGAGGATATAGCTCAGTGATAAGGTACTTGCCTACCATCCCAGATGTCTGGGGTTAATTCTTAGCATCACCAAGGGTGGGTGGGTAATGCAAATTCTCAGGCCCCGCCCTGTTGAATAAGAGACTGTATTGCTGAGGCCCAGCACTCTGTTTTTACAAACCCTCCAGGTGATTCTCATTCATCTACACTAAAATATGAGAACTGCTAAAATTTGAAAACTGTTATACTAGAAGGAAAAGAAAGGCTAGTTCTAGACAGAGGGATAAAGTGGTGCAATTTCTCCTATGGGGCATGAAATATCTGGATATGTAGGGAATCAGACTTTTTTTTTTTTTAAAGTTCAAAGGGAGCATAGACTCTGATTTCATAATTGTAGAATTATGCAAGGGAAGATGATGAAAGCATTTTATCCCATGTTAGGTTTAAAGATTAGGTTTCATATGAGAAGTCATTAAAATTCTTTATTGGAGGCTGTGATACTCAACAGGGATGATTTTGACTCCCAATACACATTTGGAGAAATATTTGATCATCTCAGTTGAGGTGAGGGGAAAGGGGGCTACTGTCCTTAGGGGTAGAGGCCAGGCATGCTGCTCAGCATCCTGCAAAGCATAGGCAGTTCTACTCCTTTGCAAAAAATAATTCTTTAACTCAAAATGTCATCCTTTACACTGATCAGATTTTCATTTTAAAAAGATCACTTTAGTCTTGCTATAGACAGTAAGCTTGAGGGAAGATAGATGGTTGGTTAGGCTATCATCCATCAAAAAGCTACCATCATAAAAAGGGCCATGTCTTCAATAGCTATTATGTATTAGGTGCGTATTCTATGCCATAGTAAGCATTTTGAATCCATCAACCCAAGTTATAACAATCCAATGAAATGGTCAATTTATTGTGCTCATTTTATAGGTAGGGAAACTGAGACAGTGGCATCAATGTTCTAGAAAAGTCAAGGTAAAATAAGCTCATCCTAGGTGAAAAAAATTAAAAGCAATGATAGAATTTTAAAAACTAGTTGATCTCCAGGTAACTTTATATATTTTATATATAATTCTTATATAATTTTTTTAAAATTTATAATTTTATATATAATATATAATTATATAATATACATACTTTGTATATACTACATAATTATTTATAATATATAATAATCTTATATAATATATAATTATATAATATATGTAGCTATACAATAAAAACTATATATACACATATGTCCATGTGTACATAGATACATATGTGCATGTATATATATTTATATAACAGTAGAGTGAGATGACTTTTACCTGTTAGAAATTTTGTGCAGAATTGAAATACACTAGGCAGTTTTTTAATTTTTTTTTTTTTGAGGTCTAGAGACCTTAAACGTGATATTGAAAATAAACTCAGAGTAAAAGTAGCAAAGCCAAGTGCCTCACTTTAGTCTTACAGTTTCTGAATTAGATAGTTTAAAAGGTAACATATTTGAGGAAGAGAAAGGATTCCATTCCTGCACAACTAATTAAGCTTCTCAAATGACTGAGAACAAGATGATATGAAAATTGCAAGCCAATTTGAAGAGTAAAGCTCCAAAAGTACAATGGGAATTTTCATCATATGAGAAAATCTTTAAAGTTACAGTTTTATTTTACAAAGAAAAAGAAAGTCTATTTCTTTTCCTTAGTAAAATTCCAAACATCCTAAACCAGGAGTAATGTTATATATATTTAATTAAAATTAAATTTTTAATTTTTAAAATTTAAATTCTATTTAAATACATTTGAATAGAATTAAAATTAAATATAATTTAAATTAATTAAAACACATTTTAAATGAGAGGTTAACATTCCTCATATTTCAACCTGTTGCCTATCCTTCCTTGAGGGCATGGAAGGGAGTGGCTATAACAACTTTGACCAAAAGGGGCTGAGGGTGCACTAACAGGAAGCCACCATGTTGCCAATTAGTGAGTTTTCCACACTGGTGGGTGTCATCCATGAAGAGGTTACAGTTTACCAGAACTCCTGCAATTGAACAGGTTTAAGATTAGGTCATATGAATGCTTATTCTTCACTCAGATGTCTTATCACACTTACCTTGGGTCAAACATTCATTTTTTTTGGTACCTAGGATTGACCTCAGGGGCATTCAACCATTGAGCCACATCCCCAGCCCTATTGTGTATTTTATTTAGAGACAGGGTCTCACTGAGTTGCTTAGCACCTCACTTTTGCTGAGGCTGGCTTTGAACTTAGGATCCTCCTGTGTCAACCTCCTGAGCCTTTGAGATTACAGGCATGCCCTGATTCAAACATTCTTCCTAAGGCTGGATAAACAGATATTAGAAAAAAGTCGTACAGCCTCCAAGAGAGACAAGCTCTTTCCATCAGTGAATAGACTGTTGCACTTTCAATAATGAAGTATCAGAAGCAGAGGGAGGGACTCCAGTGCAAGGAATTTGTGCAACACCCCTAGACTTTTGTCATCTTTTCCTGTTTTCTCCCATTCCTTGTTCGGTAGCATAAAATTTCACTCTGTGCAACCAATTTGGGTGATGTACCTAAGTAAACAAGTCAATAAATAAATGTTATCTGCTCCAGGATTAAGAATATTTTCTCACATTTCCAAGTAATTAGACCTCACCAGGCTACTTAGTTCTGCCTCTTGTCCTATTTCACTCCTCATCCTGGAAGGCACAATTCAGAGCTCTTATCTTTCGGCTTCAGTGTGCTTGGAACAGGTGGCTTGTAGAGCTCATACCATGTGTATAGTAGTTATTTCTAGAAACATTTTAAATAATTTTATCATCTTATCTGATTCTGAAAGCAATACATATATATATATATACCTTATTTTGGAAAGTTTAAAAAGTTTTAAATTAGAGAAGAAATTAAGATTTCCTATAGCTAACTGTTGTCGGTATCTGGTTTCCTTTTTATTTTTTTCCATGTACATTGTTTAATTTTAGAAAGAGGTGATCACAATATCTATGTGTTGTGAACCTTCCGTGGTCCGAAATATTCCTTAAAATATGATTTTTAGTAGCAGTGTAATATATCATTACATCATTCTCCACTGCTTGCACATTTAGATCTGCAATTTTATAGCACTGTTACTATAAAATAAAATATTAAACTTAGTCATGTTTCTTTCCACTTGCCTGACAAAGATACAGAATGAAGGAGTTGTACCTGCTCTAAGTCTCCTTTCCATTTGATTTAGAGCCTTGAATCTGAGGTTTATATAATAATAAAAAATTAATCTGGGAAAAGTAGATATACTGGAACAGAGTATCCAAGGCAAAGTGCAGAAATGCTGAGTATTTTCCACTCTGTACATTCCTTTGCACTTACTAGGAGTAAACAAAATACAGGAAGTAAGATCACAACAAATCACATAGAGTAACAGATGCTCTGAGCATATTATACTATTATCAATACCTGTATGACAGGCTAACAGAAGAAGCCTAATAGATATCAGGTGGCCTTAAGAACTGGACAGACTTGAGTTTCTTCACTTCTGTCATCCCCTGTCCCCTCATCATTTTCTTCTTTTGTTTGGCAGGGGAGGAGGCGTGTACCAGGGATTGAATTCAGGTGCACTTGACCACTGAGCCACATTCCCAGCCCTATTTTGTATTTTATTTAGAGACAGGGTCTCACTGAGTTGCTTAGGGCCTCGATTTTGCTGAGGCTGGCTTTGAACTCATGATCTTCTTGCCTCTGCCTATAGAGCCACTGGGATTACAAGCATGTGCCACTGAGCCTGGCTCTTCATCTCTTGATGGTGCTTATAATGCACACCTCATCAGCTGCTTCACTGAGATAACACACATAGAATGATCTCACTTGCTAAAAGTTTCTTCTCTCTCTACCCTACATTAGTGAATGCTTGTGTGCACACATATAGCTACAGGCACGTGCACACACACAGCTACACGCACGTGCACACACACACACACACACACTTAATGTCTTTTAAAATGTGTGAAAATTCTGATCAGTCTGAGTTTCTGGATCTTAAAGCTCAGATCTTGCAGAAGAGAAATTAGAGAAAGATCCATCAGCATACCTATGTATTATTTCCATGATATAAATTTATAAATTAAACTATGAATATATTTTACTTAATACTACTTTCCTTTGATGAACAGTCCAGAAATCATACCAGTCAAGATACACTGTATTAATATTTTCTGTGATTGAAACCTACGCTCTAACCCTCACTCAAATCATCTCAATATCCCTCCTCCCATTTTTCAAGCTCTGCAAAGAATAAATATTCTCCAAAGCAGGAAATATTTCTTCTGTCCTCAAATAGCATAAGGAAATGACTGATGATCTTTCTTGTGACAGCAGTTCATGTATATTTTACTCAGGCTATTGCTGAAGAAATCTACCTTACCTACTCTACTTAAGTGGTTTATATCTGATAAAATTTGATTAAAAATCTTGTGGAATTAAGGGAGGAAAAAAATCTACAGAATAATCTAAATCTAAAACAAAATGACAGATTTGCTTAAAAGTAACCTACCTTGTGTTGTAGTTCCCTTCTTTTTAAAAGCTGCCATTCATGTAGTTTTCTTGCAAGTCTCTCTACTCATGAAGTGGTGGTAGAAATTTGGTCTGTTGATAAACTGATGTCCAAGCAACATCACATGATGGAATAAAGAACTAGAAAAGCTTGGCTGCTTGCCTTTTCCTGCTTCTGGATGACATTTAAATATGCAGTTAATTTTTTTTTCTTCCAGGTTTTTTGTCTAATCAATGGTCAATTTCTCAAACTTCCATATCTGCATTATATGCAGACAAGGGGAGAAAAGTATGTGGACTCAGATGCTGAGTATTAAAGGTCAAGGAGTCTATCAGCACCATAGGCCATTTTGTGACTGGTTTCCAAATTGGGGATCAGTAACCCCTATTTCCATTGCTCAGATTGATGAAGGAATAACTCCTAAATGTAGAAGTATGTGCATAATTTGACTGTGGTAACTTATGGAGTTATCCATAGTTTAGATATAATGCTCCTTTTTCATTTTGGGTGAGGGGAAGTGGGTAAGAGTTTCTCTGTATTTGATCTTGGTTAGAAGCTACATATGATGATAATGAACCTATGGCATAAGACATTACCCACATTGACCTTGTGTTTTCCTCTGTAATAGCATTTTTGCTACAGACTTTAGAAAAGTCTTTTCTTTCTCAAGGATTCTCCTTCTGAATACCAGCTTATCTGCAAAGAAGAGTTCCTAGAGAAAACAGAAGCAGAATCCCCAAAGGAAAACCACAAATTCAAAATTCTTAAGAGCCTAATGGGGGAAAAATGTACAAGGAGATAACAGTGGTGAATTATATGCCTTAAAGAAGAAAGAGATCAACAAACAAAAGGTTTGCAATTTTTGTCAATAATTTGAATACAGACCTTTTGGGAACTAAACATAGCACAGACAAGAGTTTAAATGCCAGCAAATATCAAAAAAAAAATTTAAACTGGACTCAAGAGTTTCCAGGTTTATCTCTACTAAGAGATAAAGAAGAATTGTAGGTGGAGTTGATATTATTAATTGAGTCTTCCTTGAATGTTTCTCAAGGTATGATGCCTTCTAAGGTACACCTTATCAGCTGATGTTGCACACACATGCTGATTTATAACCACATTTTATAATTTCTGCCCAATCAGGAAAACAGTAACAAATCTAGGGGTTTGGTAAGCAGGGTGTTTATTATATATTATAGGCAATCCATTGTAGAAATAATGGAATTGCCTATAGGTATAAAATGAGGAAAATTAGGTTATTCAAGAACTGGTTATTACACTAAACTACTATCAAACCTAGAGCTGAAAGACCAAAAAAAAAAAAAGTTTTTTCTAGAACCCATGAATCTGCATTCACCAGATACCCTGGCTTCTATGTTCTCAAACAGTTGAGTTTAGTGTTATTGTCACCGCTATTCCTGTCCTTGCTGCTGCTGACACTGATGTGACTTCTGCTTTTGTAACTAACACAGATAGATGTAAGCAGAAGCATTAAAAAAAATGGCTCCTTTCTTCCAACTGTCCATCTTGTGTCTCCCATTGAATCCCAACAGGCAAGAGGTTCTGGAAAATGCATTTTGCAGTCTCATACTACTGTGGTGAAAAGGATGTAGAAGGATAAGCATGAAAAAGAGATATGGACACTAACACATCAACAAAAATTGAAGAAGTACCTCTGGGATTTCTGAAGGAGGCTAAAGGACTTGGAAATATGGTCAGTGTTTAGCTAGATCACTATAGTTTGGAATTTTATAAGAAAAAAAATGAAATGACAGACTGGCTATAGCTATATAGATTATATAAAAGAATGAGACATGAATTTTTTTAGACAATAACTTAAGGTTTTAAGAATGAGGAATAGTGTATAGCCCCAGTTTTAGATAAAAACAAAACAAAAAGAACACTATTTCTCCAAAGACTATCTTGAGAAAAGGGATTAAAACTGACAACAACAAAATGAAGACAAACCTCCAAATCTAATTATGAAGATTACCAGTAGAAGAGCTATGTTAACCCAAAATTCCCACTGAGAAATCTTGAAATAAAACAGTTTATTGAGTCATTACAGATGTTAGTCATGAAAGAAAAGACTGATCCTGGGACAAGTTCCTATAGTCTCCAGGAGCATACCTAGGTAGCAATTGGAAAAAAAAAATGTTTACTGGATCTGAAAAGTCAGAATATTTTATAATGAAAAATTGAGGAAGATAGGCAGTTGTTTATGTTGAAGCTACATTGGCTAGAGATAAGATGGGTAGGATTACAGGAAGCAAGGAAAGCTTTGGGATAGGAGAAACAAATGTTGCCTCAGATTGGCTGGGAGCTACCAGCAGGACACAGTGGCACCTACTGGGTGGTGATAGGTTTTGAATTGAGGTTTCATCACACAAACAGGAATGTGAAATGGTTTTTTGTTTGTTTTGGCCTGTTGCTTATTACTAACTAACTTCTCCCATCTGTTCTTTCTTCCATCCTCTGTTCTTTTGTAAGTAAATAGAAAGCATCTCAGAATTTTTCTCTTATCAGACACATACTTTTCCATGGTTAAAACATTGGTATGGCAATGCGACATTGATATGGTTTAGATATGAAGTGCCCCCAAAATGCTTATGTGTGAGGTAATGTAAGAAAATTCAGAGGTAGAGTGATTGGATTATGAGAGCCTTAAACTAATCAGTGTGTTAATCCACTTGAATGGAGTCACTGAATGGTAACAGTATGCAGGTAGAGTGTGACTGGAGGAAGTAGGTCCTGGGGGGGGTGCCTTTGGGGGGTATATATTTTGTCAATGGTGAGCCTCTCTTTTTGCTTCCTGATTATGATGTCCTGAGATGCTTTCCTCTGCCACACCCTTCTGCCCTCATGTTCTACCTCACCTTGGGCCCATAGCAATGGAGCCAGCCATCTATGGACTGAGACCTCTGAAACCATAAGTGCCAAATTAACTTTTCCTTTTCTAAAATTGGTCTTGTCAAGTATTTTGGTCACAGCAGCAAAAAGTTGATTAAAACAGACATAATGCCTAAAGTACTGGTATCCCTCCATACCCATGCTTAGCACATGGGTAAAAATGTGTTTTCCTGGAAGAGCAGGGCAAATGAGACTTGTCCAGCAATAGTAAGGGTGGAAGAAAGACCTGTGATTGGAATCCAAGATGAGGTTTAATCCTAATTCATATAACACAGTCTGCTAGAATAAGAGGCAGAGTGTCCTTAGATATTATGGAGATAAGTGATTCCCTGAAAAACAAAGATATTCAGTTTCTACTCAATCAGAAAAATAGTAACATATCTAGATGTTCAGTAAGCAAGGCACTTATTATGAGCAAACCATTATAGAAATATTAGAATTGGCTATGGGATTAAAATGATAAAGCTTAGGTTATCCAAGGACTGGCTATTACATTAAACTACTATCATACCTACAGCTGGAAGACAAGCAATAAAATGGCTTTTCCCAGAGCCCATGAACCTACACTCAGGAAAGATGGTGGAATGAGATGCACATCATTACCCTAGGTACATATATGACTGCACATGTGGTACAACACTACATCATGTACAACCAGAGAAATGAAAAGTTGTGGTGCAATTGTGTGCCATGAATCAAAATGCATTCTGCTGTCACATATACCTAATTAAAATTAATTAATTAATTAATTTTTAAAAAGAATGTGAATACAGAGTATTTTATAATGTCCTTCTGCCCCAACATCTTCTCTAGAAGTCTATCTGGAGATAATTACCAGGTACACACATCTCTCCTTGGCTACCCAAGTGCTCGGGGGACTATAATAAAGTGCAGAAGGGTCCCATTTTCTACTCTGCACCACTGTTTCTCACCTGCACTCCAATCTGAGTCTAACATCGTCTCTGTTGGCCTCTGCTGCATTATCCCTTGAGCTCAAGCTTATTTGACAAAAGAGGAAGAGTACATTATTCCTCTATTATCTTGGGCTTTTTTTTTTTTCTGACATATTCATAGAAAACTACTTTTCCAGGATCCCAAAACAAAAGCATTCACACATACCAACTTCATAGGAGTCATTGGCATCCCAAATAAGAAAACTTATTTGTACTCTAAAACTCACTTTTTGGACTACAAGAACTTCTTTTAGTGAATGATAACTACTTTAGACAAAGAAGTGATTATCGGCAAAAGAAAAGCTATTCATGGTCAGATATGTGCTAAGGAGTTTGAGAAAATAAATTTCAAAAAGTTCAGGAAAAAAACATAAAATGTAATATAATTCCAGAAGTAATATGTCCAGAAATTTAATTTTGACCCTATAATCTCAAATAAACTCAAAGGAAGAAAGAGGTAAGATAGCAAAATAAAATACAATAGTTGCACTGGGAGATCCCAGACAATTCTAAACGTGAGGCCAGGTCATTAAAAAATATCGTAAGAATTCACCAAAACATATTTTGTATTAAGGACTAGCAACGCTTTTCTAAAAACACATCCTATGGCATGGCTGTTAAGTGGTACAGCTCGCACTCAAATCCATGGATGCCTGAAATCCATGATTTCTCTATATGATCTCTAGAACTAAGGAGAAATTCAAGCAATATATACCATATGATAATGAAAATACCTCCTATTGTTACCAAGTCCTAATCCAGAGGCCTGACTCTGGGGGTCCCAACAAACTAGATCTGGCCTCACCCTAAAATCCAAATGGAAAAAGTAATGTTGAAAAGCAGGAAAGGAACTTTAATCAATATAGTCATACTGGGTAAGTCTCAGCCCTGTCTTGAGGTATGACTTTGGGTTTAAGAAGAGGAAAAAAATGACAGAGAGGAGCAAGAGCTCTGCATGATTAAACAGTCTTGGTCAAACTGATCTTGTTGATCATTATCTCAGCTCTGGTCACACAGTCTTATCACTGTCAAGGAAATTGCTGCCACCCAGAGGCCAGTCTTCATTTGCTTCACAAATCAGGCCTGTGATCCCAGAAGGGAACAATGTGGTTCCATAAGATGATTGCTCCTGATTAAGGGAGCAATCTTATCAGGGGTGATCTGCCTGCAAGGTTCCACTGTTCCTTGGAAGGTGTAGGGCAATGACTGGCGATTTCTAGTTGCCACTCTAAGTGTGTGAAGTAGGATCTTGTAAAAGCCAGCAGTTGAATGTCCCTGCAAATCTTGAAAATACCTTAGCTACTCTTATTTTGGTGATAAGAGTAAGGAGATAGGTTAAGTCAATTTAGGGCTAATAAACCTTATATTAGCATGCTTATCTGCAGAGCGGAGAAAGAATCTGACCCAAAGTTTAAGGTAATAAAGAAGACACATACAAAATGAAGACAGAAATGCCAAGCTTTATCATGCTTTTAGTTACCCATGGGGTGTCTCCAAGTCCAAGTGAAGAGTCAGGGCTTTAGCAAAAGCAGACTCGGTGAGTCTGTATTACACTATACAGCCATTACCTGCAGACAAAATTCATGAGTCTTGATTTTTTTCTGTCATTGCATACATTCTCTTCCCAGCTGGAATAGGTTTCAGTTTCATAAAGACTTAAAGTCATTGTGTTAGTCAGCTTTTTATGATTGTGACCAAAATACCTGACAAGAACAACTTCGAGGAGGAAATGTTTATTTTGGCTCCTGGAATCAGAGGTTTGTCCAAAGATGGCTGACTCCATTGCTCTGGGCCCAAGGTAAGGCAGTACATAATGGTGGAAGGGTGTGGTGGAGAAGCTCTGTTCCATTAATGGCAACCAGGAAGCAGAGAGAATGGGGGTAGGGAAGGGAGATGAGACCACAGGAAAAATGAGCCCTTCAAGGGCACACCCCCCACTGACTCACCTCCTCTAGCCATGTCTCACCTGGCTACAGTTATCACCTAATTAGTTCATTCAAATTAGGATGGACCAATTAGGTTACTCTTATCATCTAATCATTTCACCTCTGAATATTTCCTCATGAACACAGGAGCTTTTCGGGATAGATGCCTCATGTCCAAACTATAACTTTCATAATTATGGAGCAGAATATTTGTCTTATTATGTCAAGTCATTGACCTAATAAACCTCTTGGGAAGTCTTCCTTGCAAAAAGGTACTCTTATCAGCCCTCAAACCCACCTAGTCACATCCAAATTCACAATGGATATGAATGTAAAATTTAGAAATTTGTATGTGATATCTCTTTCTCTCTCGTTCTCTCTCCAAAAAATATCCAAAGGAATACACACACACACACACACACATTGTTAAGAATACCATCTAGTACTCTACAGTGGATCATGTTATAACTTTACAAACATTTTTACAAAATCAATATTGACAGCTGTGTATTCAAATAATCTCATTCCTTTTTGATGTTGTGTTGTTAATAGGAGTAGGGTACTAGGATTTTTAAATATTATAGACCTGGTGTTTCTGTATTTGACAAAGTGCCTTGTAAAATCTTCATGGATAGAGAAGTCAAATTTGAAATTTGTTTAAATTTTATGCTAAAAGTGTTGAGGAACAGATCAATGACAACAAATTTTTATCATGGATCTGAATGAAAACATCATAAGCAACTTACAAAGTTTTCAGAAGACAGACATCTAGGTGAAATGGAAAATATGATGAGAGAGACAGAATCAGAATACAAAAATTGGACAGGTTACTGTGATTGGATGTATCTAATGGAATAAAACCAAGATTCTGCATAGCACATCACTGTTAGTTGGATAAAAATGAAAAGAGGACTTGGGGTTTAAGAACAGCTCAGGCACAGGGAAAATAAGTGCAGAATGAGCTAATGAGGCTGCCAAAGGGATTCATGAGCATGTAGGCTACATCCATAGAAGTATAGTTGGTAAGACATTACCAACTGCCTGGGAGAACCTGGGACTGCCCTGGTATGCTTTGTGCTCTTGTGTTCACACAAGAAATATGAGGAAAAGTGAGCTATGTGGCTGCAATAGAGGTACCATATCAAAGGATGAATTGACACATATCTTAGAGCTATCAACCCTGGGAAAGAATTATGGAGAAGCAGCTGTGGGTAGGCAAAAAATATCCAAAGGACTAATATATTCAAGAGATGTTAAACTTACCATGAATATCACTAAAATTAAAACTTAGGATTAATAAGTGAAAGCTATAGAGATACAAATTTATAATGACATGAATAACCTCAGGAAGGAATAAACTCCCCGTTTCCAGAAGTCTTAAAAAACTTAGGCTCATTTCATGAGTGTTTCAGTCACCTCTTTTGCCACTGTGACCAAAAGACCTGACAAGAACAATTTTAGAAGAGGAAAAGCTTTGCCCACTGTTTCAGAGGTCTCAGTCCATAGATGGCTGACTTTGTTGCTCTGGGCCTAAGATGAGGCAGAACATCATGGCCAAAAGGTGTGGTGGAGGAAAGCAGCTGAGGACATGGCCGCCAGGAAGTAGAGAGAGCCTGCTCCACTCACCAGGGACAAAATATATATCCCAAAGTTACATTTGAAATGATCCACCTCTTCCAGCCACACCCCACCTGCCTACAATTACCACCCAGTTAATCCCTATAAATGGATTAATGCACTGATTAGGTTAAAGTGCTCATAACCCAATAATTTTATCTCTAATCTTTATTGCATTGTCTCACACATGAGTTTTGGGCGACACCTCATAAACATAACAAGGGTATATCATTCTCTCTCACTCTCTCTCTCTCTAAACCATAACAATGAGAGTACCAAACAGGGTATTCAAGTATTGCATAAGGGCTCTGGCCCTATAAATTCTGTCATCCCCAAATCCATGTATTAGTCAGTGTCCCATCTCACCAACACTGCTACTGTACCATCCTGGCCCTTCCTGGTCCTGTTCATCTTTCTCCCTATAAGCTTTAGCATTCCAAGATTTGATAGAAACAACAAAATATGTTCATTCTCATTCCAAATGAGGGCACAGAGAAGACAGCTATCTGCAAGCCAAGAAGGCCCTCACCAACTTAATGGTACTTGGAGGTAGGACTCTTTTGTAGTTAGGATCTGGAATGTTCTACAAAGTTTCATGTGTTGAAGACTTGGTCTCTAATTCACTCTAATGTGGGGGTTTTGGGGAAGTGATTGTATTATGAGGGATTTAATGGATTAATGTGTTAATCTATTGATGAGTTCATAATTAAATGGACTATTGGGAGTGGCAGAAACTGTAGAGGCTTAGTGAGAGGAGGTATGTCACTGGGGACATGCCCTGGAAGGGTATATCTTATTCTCTGTCTCCCTCTCTGTTTTCTGGTTTCCATGAGGTAAGTAGTTTTCCTCTGCCCCACCTTCCACCATGATGTTTCTGCCCTACCAAAAGTAAAGAACCAGCTGATCATGGACATAAATGTCTGAAATCACAAACCAATATAAATCTTTCCTTCTTTCAGTTGTTTATCTCAGGCATTTCATCACAGTTATGGAAAGCTAATCAACACAGGGCCTTTGAGAAGTAAATAGATTTAGATGAGGTCATGAGGGTGGGGATCCCATAATAGGATTAATGTCTTTACAAGAAGAGGAGAAGGGACTTTCTCTATCCGCCAAATGAGAGCACAGTGAGAAGACAGCTATCTGCAAGCCAAGAAGAAGGCCCTCACCAGAAAGCAGATCTGCTAGTATCTTCATGTTGAACTTCTTGGCTTCCAGAACTATAAGAAGTAAATATTTGAGCCACATAGTCTGTGGTGTTTTGTTATTCTCACAGTTTGTAAGTGGTAGAACTGGAACCTGAACTCATGCAGACCCACTCCCTCTAGCATCTATACTTTCTTCATGATATGTGTTTAGCTCTGAAATGAGGAGTCAATGCAAAGGTGCTTATCTCATTTCTTCTTAACTTTTGCGCAAGAATTTCTCTTTTTTATTTCATTGGCCCAGGTGTGATAAGGAGAAAATTTTACAATGTAAGAAGGTG